GGCCGCGTCCTCCCCACCGCCCCCGCCGAGGCCGAGCCTCGGGTGCGCGGTTTCGCTGGTGGGAGCGGCTGAGCCGCAAGGCTGCCGTTTACTCCCGTTAAGCGAGGAAAAGGCGAGCTCCGGAAAGCTCTTACCTTAACCGCTGGTGAAATATTAAAACTGAGAAGTGAGTTTTAAGGGCATACGAGGAAAGAAAACGCCAGTAATGCCAAAGGCAAGGTGCCATTAGTGCAGGGCACTGACCTTGTCCCCCTTTTCTGTCTGCTTGCAGAGAGGCGCGGAGCTGGGACCCTCGCTCCTTTGTTATCACTCAGGTGGGGGAAAGAAAATCGGAATGTGGGTTAGGACCACACATTCCACATACATATTTTCATTCATATATATATATATATATAAATATATGTTCATTTTATCATATACAATCCCAATGTGGATGGAGAAGAAAGGAGTAGGGAGAATTCTTCTGAAGGAGAGAGTGGCCGAGGCAGCCCCAGCCCTCTCTGTGCTTTTGCAGTTTATTTCTGGTTGAGAGGAAGCAAAAGCGCTCAGGGCCGGCATAGCTCGAGGGGCCGAGCAGCAGAGCTCGGTGCAGGAGGGATCCACCTGAGCTACCGACTCTGAGTCATGCCACTGCTATTAATACACCTCGCCCTCTGGCTCTCTGATAAAGAAGGAAAGGTTGGGGGAAGAACTGAAAGGAATTTCCAATTAAAGCTGCTTCAAAAAGAATAATAAGAACATTTTAGGCTGAATCGGGGGTGGGGAGAAGGGAAAGACAAGGAGAGCTGCCTGGCAGGCCACAAGAAATAATCTCCCAGAGAATCTTTGGGAGCCTCATTTATTAGTTGTTTTTAAAGTTGTTTGAACAAAATATGAAGAATGCTCCCATAAACCAGATGCATTGAGGAATGCAATCTATGACAGAAATGAAATTGAACTATATAATCTGAGCTTAGCTGTCTCTGCTAGAGTTTAATCTGTGATGATTTTATGCATGTTACTGTGTATTTCAAATAGGCATTTCTCTCAGAGTCATCACCACGGAGCATGAACCTCTTAGTCTATTAAAGTGCATTCATTTTCCTTCTACAGGCTAAAATTTCCTTTACAGCTTTGTTTATGCTACTTTGATCCAATGAAGAAGAGACAAGTGGTTAATTTTTCCTTCTCTGTACTGTCACTGCTCACCTTTGAGATCATCCCAGTTTAAACCAGAATGTTTTGCAGTACCTTAAATTTCTAGCGTGTCATACAGCTTCCGCAGATGCACAGTTCCATTGGCCTGCCATCAGTAGCACAAAATATACCCGTCCCCATTTCAGATGGCTTTTTCCTGCAGAGCAAAGCAAGACCCAAGGGAAATGAAGAAAGGTACTTCCAAAGATAACCAGACCCTGTTCCATTCAAAGAGAAAAACTTTGAAGCAGACAAAACACTATCTATAATTCACTGCAGAGCACAGATATTACCTTAATTGACTGACTTAGAAACTGGCTTTGCTTCCAAAACAGTCGACTGCAAACTGGCTCTGGTATAGAATTGTTGCAGCAGGTAATGGTTTCTTTACAAGTGTTGACAGCAAGTGGAAGAAAGTTCCTTTTCATTTGTTAACTACTATCATCTTAGGATATGCTTTCTCTCTTACGCTGTTACGCGAAGAATATCATTCCTCAAAAAAGTCAAGGTAAATAATAGTCTTATCTATCTTGTAAACAGTATAATATGTTTTTCTTCTCACTTTGCTTCCTTAGCAAGGTGTAGGGTTGCAGCTTGCCTGATAAAATGGGCAGTAAAAACAGAAGTGCAGTTAGAGATTAGCCATGAAACTGAAACTACAGAAGGAACTACAGCTGATAAAGAAAGCTTTCAGGTATGCATATCAACTTAAATTACACAGTTCTTTAAGAGGCAGGTTATAAAATTAGTGATAAGAGTGCTGTAACTGAAAGATATAAAAGTTTGTCTTAAAAGTTTGTCTTCCAACAGTAATGCCAAAATATAACTCTTTATTTAGAAAATATTTTGAACCTTCTTTACCCTGTTTGAGGAACCAATCCTAAAATCACATCTAATAGTAAAAATTTTAGGCCAATGCAATGCTTTTTCCAGTACGCTGGCAGAGACATAAAGCATTGGTAAGTGAAGATTCCGTTGTGTGTTAGAGTCTACTTTATTAAAGCTAAATATATTCAAGTGCAATCCAGGGGGCATTTAATAGACAAGGCATTTTGGAAAGGAGAACTGAAAAAAAAATTACTTGGAGGAATTTCCTTTTTTTTTTTTTTTTTTTTGGCCTGTTAAATGGTGTGCAACACTCCTTTACCCTGTAATTTAACTAAGATTGATGCTGTCAGCTAGGATGGAAGCGTAGTTCTGTCCATACTCCACCACTAACATGAAAAGGTATACATAGACTTAGGCTTTGCCAGCCTGGAACCGTTGCCTGGAACCCTTTGCCAGCCATTCTTCCTGGGAATATTTATGCACATGGCTCAATATACACATGTTCATCTATTAATATGTTTACAGAAGCGGACCTTACATCATCTAAAGTTATTGCAGGATAATTTTAGGCTATTACTAATTATATGATCTAAAAAGTGAATTGTTTATTCTTTTGTTAGTATTTGAATAACAATCATACATATGTTGCCTTAATGGACATTAATCTTACTTCTTTTTCCAACAAGGATTTTATATTGCCTTTACAAGCCTTTGCTAGAAACAAATGGAATTGAAAGAATCTTGTGGTTATTAGATAAATCGAATTCGTAGATATTTAAAATATTTGCTGAAATTACAAAAAATGGTTTAGGTAGTAGTTAAATTTGTATATCAGTTGTTAAATCTGTTTGTAGTTTAAATGTATTTCCAATGTAATGCCAAAAAGTGTTTTCAGGCATTATTAAAATAGCAAATTTCTGTAAAAATATAAGGGTTCCAGTAGCAACACTAACCATTCCAAGTTGCCTTTATTGAGTGCCTATACGTGGTCTCAGCTTTGAGCAAGTTCAAAAAGGCAAAATACGGTATTAATCTGGGAAGGATTAGTCCTTTTCCTTTTTGACATACCATAGCTATGTGAAGCTAACTTTGATGTTCTTCAGTTCAATTAACAGCTCGTTCACAAACCTTCATTACTGTTTGCCTCAGCTCCTGGGAAGTTGTTAAGGAGTCCAGTTTGAGGCTTCTTCAGCTGGATATCCCCCTGCATGAGCAGTGTGACCAGGGAGGGCAGACCTGATTTGCAAAAATCTAGAGGAAGAGGGATTCTCTCTCTTCTTGAGAAAGAAGTGGAAAGTAGGAATGATAAGTGAGGACCCCAAAGTGTGATCAAGAAGCCTGAAAAACAGCAGTCTGGATAATCCACTATTGAACTGCTGTATTGGTAGCTGGCTAGGTGTCAGGCAGTTCTACCTAACTTGGTTTTAACCTAGCTAAAGAGGCTTAGCGCTACCATTCATGTTGAAACTTGGCTGACCAGTAACCATCTTCACAGCTGAAAATCAGCAAGGTTGTTTGCAGCAAAGTTTTGTTTTATGGCCAAGTGAAGCCGTGTTGGAAGTGAGAGTTTTAACGAAAATGCTGGTTCTCTTGTTCCTCCCAGAAGCAGAAATGTTATACTGGCTTGGGCCTGGGTGAGGGAGTAGCAATCTGAGACAAGGGGTAGATCGAAGGTTTTACCACTGACCATTCTCTCACATATGATTGCCCTCTTCCAATGGCATGTCCTTGTCCTCCTCCTAGGTATCTGCTCCAGTCCTCCTCCAGTTTCTGCTGCTGCAAGAGCTATCCCAGAGTGGTGTCAGTCTGTCTCAGGGTCAAATTTGGATACCTTTTCTGCTCAAGACAGAAAGCAGTAAAATCATTTGTGGAGGAGTGTTTATTTAATAGAATGTCAAATATGGATCTTATTTCATTTGAAATGAACCTCAATACTACATCTCTGTGGCAATAATTTACTAAAAATTTAATTTGCACACACAAAATATGGATTAGCCGGTCATTATG